CAGACACAAAGTCCATACTTATGGACTGCCAGCACCCGTTGGGTACCGGTAAACTGGACAGCGGCTCCGCCGCATTCGGAGAGGGTTTCACCTTTTGACACGCCTCACACGTGTGCACATATGTGCTTGTCCACATGTACAGCTTGGGTCACCAATAGTGGCACCTCACCGAGCTGTACGTCTTCTCACGACCGAGGCGACCACTAAGTGGTGTGTCATGGGCCTCATAGAGAATACGGTATTTCAGAACCTTATCGTGTTGAACTGCAATACGTGGCGTATCCGTCGAATTGGTGCTATGTTACAGCGACCCGTTATTCAACGAATATCGGTGTAACCGTGCGCGCAATCGCGCCGATAGTGTCTTGTCCAATTGTTTTAGACTCCATGCCCCGACAGCCTGTAGCAGCGTACCATTCCCCGCGTATGTGGCGCGGATCAAATTTATCACTGACAGCTTCACCGTCGTGACATGAGCAAGCTCATAATCCGGTCTGCGTGACAACGCGTCAGCCAAAGCATTCTGATTTCCTGGCTTATACTTCACATGTACATACGCACCATGGAACCTGAACAACTGCGTCACAAGACGATTAAATGCTGCTGGTGCATTTGACAGCCCTTGGGGCATCACCAGCAACTCCCAGGTCTTCCCGCTCGGAGTACTGGACGCTGTCAGCGGAATATCACTCGCTGTCATGAGCAATTCGTAATAACTATGACCAAGCCGAGTGCACTGTACTTTGGAGAATATCCTTCATACGAATCGACGTCTATGGCGGAATGGTGGCAGCTTTTAGCTTATTGTAAGCGTGAACGATACGCCACTTACCGTTCGGCTTCCATACATACACGTGGCTGTCGAATGGGGAGACTTACTCTAACGCACCAGTCCTTCGTCGTGCTTCGAGCGAAAAAAGGCGTCAATGACGTCACACTGCTCCTTGGGCACGGGCCATTGGCATGTTACGCAGTATTTGGCTCCCGGAACCAGATCTATCTCATGACGCACACCTCGGCTTGGAGGAATAACCGACGGTGGGTCTTTGAAGACGACGTATTGAAATTTCTTTACCAACGGATAATACGGATCCGATGAATTATTCAGGATTGGAGGTCCACTTCGTCCGTTCCGCACCCTCTTAGTGTCCTTCAATACAGCTTCATCCAGAGCGACAACGTGTTAATCTCCTCGTTAGGTCTTATAATGACCACCTCGGCGAAATTGCCTGCCTTCGAGGCACCGCTAAACTCTTCGATGGACATCTCGTCCAGCTCAGGAAGAGCATCCACCGCGGGAATAGCCTCGAGAATAACGTCACCGTCTTCCTCCCCCGTTATACCGTTGACAAGGGTATATAGCTGTGCGCTATTTATTACGGTATACACACCCTGAGTCAGGGTCGACACCCTGCGTCTTGCAGATAATATACGGCCTCGCCATGTCCTCTCTATGAAGCTTTTACGTCGCATCGAGGCCAGTAGGAACACGCACTCGACGTCGTCCAGTGTCCACTTACCCTGCTCCATCGGAGCCTTGAAGTTATTAACAACGTTTGACGAAGAGCTCCTATTTCCGCAGTCTTCATCCAGTGGATAACGTGCCACTCCACGCGCATCAAAAGAGCCTCGTACTTGATGCCTCGGACCTCGTCTGACCATGCCATTCTTGGCATGCAGCAACTGCTTCGTAACGTGAGTAGTGCTCAATGGGTTACATGCCATCCCACGCGCGGCACAAAGGGCCTCGCCGTTAATGCCTAGGCCCTTGGCCGACCATGCCACTCTTGGCATGCAGCGACTGCTCTAATACTTGAGCAGCGCTCAGCGGGATACGTGCTACTCCATGTTTAGCCCGCGGGCCATGCTCGCGACACTTGTTCAGTACATCTTCGGTGTGTGACAGCTTGGATACTTCGATATCCAGCACATTGACCGTCCCGGTCCAGTGCCCGTGCAATAGCGCTTCTGCTTCCTAGCAGTGGTGGGTTTATGACTCACCAAAGCTCCACCAGGAGACTGCACTTAGCGTTTAAGATTTTTGACTTCCAATCAATCCATGACTCAAGGTGTCCCAACCATGCCATGCTCATACTTTGCATTCAAGTCTAAGACTGGACAGCATTTTACGCATTAAAGTCAAGAAGCTTGCCACCGAGGTCCACAAGGGCGCTCGGCACAGAGACACAAGTCCCTGTCGCTTAGCGAACAGTGACGATGTCACTCAACCGCGCTTCCAGCGCTTCAGCATACAGCTGACTTCCTTCGATCGTGGAGCGTCGAGCATAATTGCCTGACGCCCCAGAATCGATATAGATTTTCCGTGGCTTCTTAAACCCTTCACGTTCACTTTTACGACCAGCAATCCCTGCTAGCACACACGTTCCATGTTCAAGAGCACGCAGCTTTTCTGGGCTGGCCCCTGCTGCTCTCTACCTATTTGAGGCTCACCATATCTCAGTTCTCCCCCCGTGGAACACCCCACGCCAACTGGGTGTTCTCATTTCCCACGTTAAATCAGACTGGTTCAAGCGGGACGTCGGTTCGACGAACCTTTACGCGCCTTGCGCAATTGACAACCCGTCTGCAGGTGACGGGTGTCTCCACAAACAAAACACTGTCGTGTGTTTTCACGGTGCTCAGCAGCTCGGATCTCTCCCTCCTCCTTCTCAACCTAGATGAAATTCATTGGCTCAGGCCCGCTCTACGAGCTCTGAGGGTGTGCATTCCAATTAAGCCGTGCTGACTTGAAGCTGAATTCGGCATTCAGTGCCACGTTTGCCGCTTCTTCAAAAGAAGACGGATACACACAGAAGACTTTCATTCTGGCCACGTAGCCCTCCATAAAGACGATCACTGCGACCGCCTCGGGGAGAGGGTCGGCTGCCATCCCGGCAATGAGAGTTCTTAACTCTTAGACGAAGTCCACCAACTTCTTCTTGCCCTATCGGGCAGCAAAAAACGCGTTCTAACGCGGTATGCCTGATTAGGCGGCGAGAACAATAGCAGAAGCTGACGCTTCAGCTAAAGGAACGCAGCTTCAAGCGAAGCACTGCACGTTCCCATTCTCGCGTCCGACCCCCGAGCTTGAGGATATATAGCGCTGAGGCTCGTTTTGGAGCATGGCGGATGCCAAAGCCATCTCGGCCTCTCTTATCCAGAGCAGGAGATTCTCTCGATCCACCTTGAGCGGCCTGGGTCGGAAGGAATCATTCGTCGTTGACGGTGACGTCATGGACGTAGTTGACGCTGACAGATTCTGCTGTAAGTGCTCTAACAGAGAATCTTTATAGCTTGAAAACGCCTCTAGGCGCGCGCCTATGGCCTCGGCCCTTGCACAACTAGGTGCCACACGCCGTCAGGTCCCAGCAGGATATCAGCTTATTAAGCCCGTCCTGCATGACCTGGGGCAAATAGGAGTTTTTGTCCATCCTCACAGAGGATTAGTCGTAGCGATTCAAGTGTGGATCGACTACGAGTGCTAACAAGTGCAGCGGGGCTGCCGTAGCTCTTTGCTTAGAGGAAACTTAGATAGGTCTCACCGACCTTACGTTCTTTCCAAGAACCAGTACGAGTGTAGCGGATCAAATTAATATAGTAATATGCGTTACGACTGACAATCCTGGGGCTTCTTGTTACGGTGTAGCCATACCACTGTGTGATTAAACTAACTTGTATAATACACACCTATGTACGGTCGCACAAGATTGTGCGACCCACCCTTTCATACAAGGGTGCGTGTAACCCCGTTTCACTTTCCATTAGCTCAATGCAACACCGAGGGTGAAAAAAGTATACCGCAAAGCAGAGTCCATGTTCAGCACTCTCAACTTAGTCGATAACTACTCGTGGGAGTAAGTGACATCCCCTATTTGTTGCTGTAAGAGCGATTCATTATGCCTTTGTAGGCTGTCTATACACTACAGGTGTGATGGGATTCGACATTGAGAAGCTTGGTCCCCGAGAAAATCCTGCAAAGACCAAATTCATAGTAGATTTGTCGGAGTTAAAAACGTCAATCACAAGAAGATTTACGAAACTGGCTTGACCTGGCGAGCAACTTGTTGCAAATTATACCAACATAATAAGCTTCTGGCCAGTATTTACAGAAATTTACTGACAGGTGTTGGAACAAAGAGATACTTATCTGTTTAGGTCAAACCTTCTCGGCTTCAAGCTATTTGTGATCTATACATATCATGATTCGCCAGGCACGGCAACGATGAGCCACACCCTCTCTCAAGAATGGCAAGATGGTTATCGCTCTTTCTGGGTACATCTTCAAGGCGAAACATAAGCGTGACCACTATGATTTGGTGATAGAAGAACTAGATTATGAGCAATTCCATGTCACAATGGTGACATCTCGCGTTTATAATGTCTTTCCTACGGCTTCTCGGACACACTTTGTGTGAAGCTACTGAAACTATCGAAGTGATTCATTCGGTAAAGCTGGATATTCGCTATATTTAAGCATTCACAACTGCGAAATATCAACAGTCCTTCGTCCCAAACTTTGCTGTACCTGCCGTTACATGATGATGCATACCTTAAAATAAAAATATATGTGAAGCGCATGATACTTTTGATAGTAACATATCGGTAGAAAAGATATGCGGACTAGTGGGATGTATGTACTGGCGGGCAATAGAAAAGTAACTAAATGCCTATGTGTGAGACATTTTCAAAAATTGCACAAAAGTTTGTTATACCATGTAGGTTTTATTTATTGCAAAATCTTCAGCACCGGCATTCTTTGCATTCCTGCTCCGTACAATTAGCGCGTTTCCTCTGCTTTCTGCCCTGAAACAGTCTGCGTTTTTTATTTGGCACCGAAAATCCACCAATAGTTCTCTGTAATATGCAGGTTTTGTAGCAAGAAGACAACACATGGTAGCGAATGGCTTTATCATTAGATAGTTCAGCTATTTTCCACTGGTTTGGTCACAGCAGCAAGATGTGACCTTGTATTTGGTCAGTCTAGAAAGATCACAATGTCGGTGTAGTCGTAATTGCTGCTTCAGAAAAAACATATATAAGCGACATGGTTGACTGTCAGTGCTCTTTCAAGTTAAGTAAAGGCGCCAAAGCGATCCATAAAGTGGTCTCGACCATAGTTGGGCTGACAATATCAATTGAATAAATCTACTGGGGTCTCAAATTTACAAGCATGAAGCCCATGTGATCACTATCATTAAACTTTACCTAAAATTTAGTGCCTATAGTACCTAATAATTAACTTAATAGCGCTACTTCACGTACTTTTGAAGTAAATCATTGACAACCAGTCGCATTGAAGACAAATAAATTCGACGGACATTAGTGAATCCCCTTGACAGTATGGAGCACGTTGATCAGGTACTCTATTGGCTTCTATCAGAAGACACAGAATGATGACAAACGGTAAGCGGATGGTGAATGAACCGACATGAGAAGAAGAGAGCGAGTCTCGTTGTGTAAAGGCTGGTGTGTTGTCCGTCTTGAGGTCGGCAGAACGATAAGACACAAAGCACTGAAGGCGCTGGCTAGCTAGTTGGTTGGGGTGATGGCCCACCAAGGCTGTAATCCACACACAATCACTGTGCATAGTGATTGTAGAGTCATTCAAAAGAAAGTCTTGCTTTTCTTGTTGGATGATTGCGAGACCCGAACGATTTAAACTCGTTTAACCGACTCATCACCGGCAAAACTCTTTGAAATTCAAAAGTCGACAAAGACGCTGTTCGCTCGTATAGTCAGATACCCGATCTCGCTTGTGTTTCTCCATGTTTTATTTGTCTATTTTTATGCTTAACACTGACAACTTGTGCTACGCGTTATACCATGTACAGACTGAAAAAGCCTACCAAAAGCAGCAGGGCGTGTTTCTTGCCAGTAAAAAGTTTGCCGGAAAGAAGAAAGGTCCACGTTTTTACAAAGAGGTGGGTCTTGGTTTTAAGACTCCCAAAAGCGCTATCGAAGGCCAGTACGTGGACAAGAAATGCCCTTTTACTGGTAACATCTCTATCCGCGGTCGTATTCTTAAAGGAGTTGTGCTATCAACCAAAATGAAACGGACAATTATCGTGCGTCGTGACTACTTGCATTTTGTCAAGAAGTACAAGCGTTTCGAGAAACGTCACAAGAACGTAGCTGCCCATCTTTCTCCTGCTTTTCGAGTGAAAGAAGGCGATGTTGTCACCATTGGCCAGTGTCGCCCACTTGCAAAGACTGTGCGTTTCAATGTGCTGGAGGTTGAACCCGCATCCGAGACCAAGCCGATTAACGTGCGCAAGCAGTTCCGTCAATTCTAAGCGTTTAGCAACTTCATGAAGTCTTAGAAAGTCGGGGTCATAACTAATAGTGATCAATGAAATCAGGATGGGGGATGTTGAAGATTTCTGTGTGTTTGTTTAGCTTCATGAAAACTCCACGTAGCTTCAGCTAGACCATACACTTGGTTTGTATATTCTATTAATCTCAATTACTGCATGTATGTTAATGTTGATACATACATTGCATTTATTGTATCGCAAGCACCGAGACTCAGCGAATAGAAACAAAGAGAACAATAGTTGACAAATGTCTGCACTAGCCGCGTCCAACGATAATCACGTATGTTAAGTAAAGCGAGTAACTTTATCGTTTATGGGTGCACAAAATACTTTAATTGCAGATATTATGTTTGCATTTCATTGACTGAAGTCCGATGATAAGCATACAATCCCAAGCGATAAGTAGCATCTTCATTTATTTAACGTATCAGCCCAGGACACGGATCGCCTATTTTGCACCCAGATCTGCGGAGCTGTCACTTATTATTGTAACGCTGTGATGACTGATATGGCATTTTGCTTTAGAGCTTAAAGAGCAGCATTGAATGATAATTATTACTGGGCTCTTTCTGTTCATAAAGTCTTGACATCTCACTCTGAGCTTTTAAAGATGAACCGACATTTATAACCATACAGAAAAAAGAGTGAAGTAAACACTGATTTCTACAACCTTTTCAAAGATCTCTTAGATATGTGACTAAGTTGACTCATGCCTTGATGCTTCATTTTACTGTTCTGTTTGACCCTTCAAGGCACTTCCAAATTTTTCTGCTTTATTCGCATCCCCCAGAGCTGCGTAAGAACAATTTTTGTCTTCATCGGTCGAAAGCTTTCTCTTGAACGACCTTGCCTTGTCCTTTTCCTTTAAAATGCAGTGGAATACTCCATATTGTACTTCCTTCAGTTTATCTAGCTTAAAGCCGGTGCCTTTCGGGCTTAATATTAAAATCTCACACGACTAGAGTGTACTGGAGTAACATGTGCGCTCCACAGACTCTTTTATCAAATTTAGGAATGGTGTAAGGTTCAAGATCGATTTAATTCCATCAAAGCCATTGAATCGCCATTAGTTGAATTTAGGATAAATAATCAGGTGTCTTCACAAACTGTAACCAGCTTTTGAGATAGTGAATCTTTATCTTCGATAGATTTATAATAGTATGTTTCATTCAATCGAAACTAAATGTTTGCCAAAACTTGCCTACATAAACAGAATCAGGCAGAATTTTGGCCTATTCCAGTACGAATCCAAGCAAGATGTCAAAGATATATGTGAGAGTCGCTTTACCGTGATTCAATTTTGCTGAATCACTCTAAATGAGTTAGGATATTAAAGCTATGCAAGTTTTTGCCATTTGCGATCGCGACACTGATTTAGAGCGTCCGTTTTCCACTTGCTAGAGATATCTTTTAAGAGACTTAGTTTAAGATTTGTGTCATTTATCGAGGCTTTCGATCGGTTCTCCTTCTAAATTCAAAGATTACATAACCGGCGACAAAGCGATAAGCCAAGTGTATCAAACATTCATTTCTCCTTCATCCTTGTCAGTGTCTTTGACTTTGTCTCGCTTAGTACATTCTTCATAGCAGATAAATATATACCATTGACATGGAAATTTTGCTGACATCTAATGTGTTCTCATTATTCCTCCAAGAGAAATCTGTGTAATTTCCTGGCGAAAATATAAAATTCGTACTAAGTCGACTTTGCTTGAGTCATCAGTGCTGAGAGAATCGAATTCCGAGTTTCACGCCTTCATTAAATTTTACGTTGTTAGACCCTATCGCTGACGTGTATGTAGTCAGTATTTCTCTCGTTAAGCCTACAACGTGACCGTGTATAAATCCTTATCTTATTCACTTATGACATTTGACATCTCTTTCAGTGTTTTTGATTAGGCCTACCATTTGAATAGGACAATTCTTCCCAATTCATTCAGCGAATCTGTCTTCTAGTATTGTTAACTACCCATTGCAATTTAATCATTCATCGGGACAATCTCGATTTCAGGCCAAGAAATGCCGCCGAGTTGAGTAAGAGGATTGAAGAGAAGACATCTCAACTTAAGAAGGTACATCGTTGATCAAAATTTTGCATGTAAGCGAATGCCAGAATATTGTAAAGAGCATACAACAGAATATCCGAATAGAGCGGAGGCCAGAATGTCCAGCAAAAGCAGACGACTGATTATCCAGTTAACGTACATGCAGAATATCAAATGTTACAGGCAACAGAATATCCAGTAAGGGTAGATGACAGGATATCAACAACAGAAAGTTTAGTGAAAGTATATAAAACAGGACACTTAGTAACAAGCGTAAAGGTAGCAGCTAGTTTTGTGACTAGAGATCGATTAATTTTCCCCTGCTTCTTGATACCTACTGCCCAAGTGAGTCTTGAACCTGGAACAACCGCTAGCAACAAAGAGCACTGCACGACTTTGCTTTTACTTGGGGGGTGATAAAGGTAACGCCAGGTGGGCTTACTTGATTTGGGAGACACATAGAGCCTCGGCGTGTATCATAAATGTCGTTCCCGATTGCCCTGAGCCCCCAGCTGAAAAACCTATACCGCTTCCCTGATGCAATAGAGAAAGTCTGCTTTAAGACAATTTTCTTTCGCTAACATAGCGCCTGTCATCGATTTAGCGTGACAGAATAGAAGTATGGCTTGGCTTGAGCAAGCTCATGAAGTACACAAGAACAGATTACAGTATCTTTTGAATGTCGAGAATGTAATTAATCTCTGTTTTGTTACGACCGTGAATGATACGAAGTAGCGTGGCCACGAATTAGTCTTTTAATTACGGTTACTGTATGTGTGGAATGTTCGATCAAAACCATACTTTCGCTACGCATTCATGGGCGTAACAACTGCATTAGGCATTGCTATTTTATTTTCGTGCATCCTGACTCATAGCCATATCATCACGTACCCGGTGCATAACGCTTAATCTCATTGAGATGCAATCTGCGAGTTTGCTATAGGGTGTAACCGGGATGTTGTGATCGAATTGAATTGTATATAACGAAAACCCACCCCACAAAGACCTGAGCCCGAAAGGACCACAAAGTAACTAGATCATTCACAAAAATAAAGAGAAACGTTAGAGGCATGCACTGCGTAGTTAAGCGCAGCTCAATGAACAGGAGCAATATGCTTTAGCTCCGCGTTCTTTCCGGGCGAGTGCTACGGAGGATATTCTCCATTACGCAATTGATGCGCTCTATCTAACCAATTGACTTCGAGTGGTCAGGAAGGATAAGCATAATGTGGTGTCGATCAGAGTCTACTAAAACTTCATTGCAAAGCGCGATCATCATCCGACACATTGACGCAGGCAAACCATTTTGGCAAATAAACGCTGTCAAAAAGAAGTTCTATTATCATCGACGACCTTGTTGCAGCAGCGAAATGGTCCATTTTGCTTCGAGGGTCTACAAAGACGATAATACAAGTAATACTGAAACCGTCATTTTGACGACCAAGAGTGAAGACATACTTATGATTCTGCCGCATTCGACAGATTATCCAGAGCTAGTGCGTGCGAAGAGAAATGAACTAATTGCCACGCTTCATACGTGCGCACATACTTAATCTATTCACGATGGGCCACAAGTGCATAACGCTTACTGAGCATCATATATTCTCCCCTGTAAGGTACCAAGGCTATCCGAAAGGCTATCATGACCCTCGTACATGATGCTACATATACTACTTAGTACTGTGATACAGCAAGCCTTGGAATAAGAAATAGCGTCGCAAACGTGAGCTCTATGTCTTGGATAACACAGCATTTGAGCTTCTACGCTCAATACTTTCAAATATACATTACATGTTGCGTATGACCCATGTCGCCTTACAGTTGGCTATGTCACCATCGTGACATGCAATAATTCAGAGCCGGGGCAATCCAGAAGCGCATCCTCTGTCACATCAAGACGACCCGTTTGACACCTTACCTCAAAGTTGAATATACTACTTTTTCGGCTTTAACGTAAGGTGTGATCGTCTTGCCATATATTGTGAGAGATGTGGTGATATCTGCACAGACTAGCATTGGCTCAAAGTCAAGTTGGTCTAACAGAATGTAGCAAACGTTGTTTTCATTACAAAAAGCTCCTTGTCTCACGCAGAGTTATTCGTTCCCGTCGTTTTAAGCTGACGAGACTCAACTGATCACACCTTGAGTTCCAGCGGCATCTGCATAGTATTAAGCACATCATAGGCACGAGTGTTGAAGAGTCAAATGCAATGTGATATGACCACTCTTAGCTTGAAAATGCCAGAATCGGGAACGCATGAGGTTTTCTTTCACAGCCTGTAGTCAGACCGCCTCTTCTGCCGCGCCTCAATACGAATTGTTATTCTTATGAAGATTAGTTTAAAAGCCGTGCTTCGTCAGTATGATACACACTTGACCTGTGCAAAAGCTAGCAGACCAAGCCACCTTTTTTAATTCCATTAGAAAAGAGATATCGGCCAGTCTACAATCTTTGCAGGAGCTGCCCGCAGTCTATACTTTTACATGAAGCAACCCAGAAAGGGGAACCTGTCGGCTTCGAAAGCAACTTTTGCAATATTGGCGATCAAAATTTTGAACTCAATGCATCGAGCTCTGCTTGCAAATGATTTACGTGTTTCTTCACTTCCGGTGGACCTTTCTCAACACAACTATCGACAGATATTGCAACGGGGTTTCACGCCCTAATATGAAGGGTGTGGATCCCACAAGATGGTGTGATCACTCAGTGGTGTGATCTCACAATGATGTGGGTTACATGAGATAGTGTGACCACAATAGGTATGGCTACATTCAAACAAGAAATAGGTTCGTGGCTGGAACAGCTAGTAGTGATAAACTTAATTAGATTTTACTATGTAGATAGGAAAATCTGTAGATTTAAATGTAGGCAGCTATGCCGCAAATAAAGCGATACATGCAGTTTACATTTTAGACAAGATTATTGATTAGCCT